CATTGCTAAAGTACTAATAATTGACTTCTGGTATCTGGTTAAAGCGAGCATTTTCTGATTCTTAGTGTATTTAACTGTTCATGTGTTATATAATTTCTTGCATTCATTGATTTCTCTATAATACGTCTTAGGTCTAAGAAAAACACATAAAATGTTATCAGTATTTTACATTTCTTTACTCGGAAACTTAATTTTTTTCTCTCTAATTAAAAAAAAATATTTAGATATATTTGGCGTGGCTTGTTCACAGCACGTTTCAATTAAAAATTCATGAAATAGTTGCACACTATAGTAGATCTACAACTGTAAAATAAAAAAGGCGGAAGATACCAAGGGGACATTCAAAACATAAAAAGGCGAAGAGAAACTGACAACGTCATGATAAAACAAAAAAGACAAAAAAGCCCACTGCATAGAAAACTAAAGCTGAGCAACATAAACCCTTAAAAAAACAGAGGTGATCTCAGATGCTCCGGAAGGGTATGCAGATCCATATATGACACCCGTCGTGTGACTCCTACATATTACGTTGATAGTTAGGCGATTGGTAATTGACTCTTATAAATCTTACGCAAAGACATCACCAAATTCGTAACTGATTTGTCATGCTAATTTACTAACCCCTGGAACCGGACCGAATATGAAATATTGAATAGAAAACGTTTTTTTCAAGACAAAGGATAGACAACTGTTACCAGTAGTCTTAAAACAGACACTGGAAAGTTAAAAAGCACAAACAACATTGAAAATAAAGCAAGAGCAACACGAACCCCTTTAAACAAAACTAGGGATAGTCTCGGGTCCTCGGGAAGGGTAAGACGAGCCGACTCCTGAAGTGACACCCGTCTTGTTGTTTACGGTAAGTGCAAATCCGTTAATGTTTATATATGTCCTTTAGTGATATCACAATCGAGCGAACGGGGACGGAATTGTTGTTACGGCAATTGGAACATATTCCATAACGATCAACCAACTCGTGATGGCGTCAGCAAATTTTTCGAAGGAATAACTTCCACTTTAGAACTTCGGACCCATGGTCCAATAACATCCTTTTAAAAAGCAACCGTATATGAGGAATATCATGATAGGAAACGCAAGCACTGGAATATCGTATCAACTCGGATTTATATACTCCAGATCCAGGCGTTGCAGGAAGGTGCTATATAGAAATTAAAAGTTCGCAAATGGGAAAGCTAAAATCATCCCATATGTCGTTTAGCGGTTATGTTCTCAACAGACACTCATTGTCAATTTTTAGATGTAAGTGAATTTAACTTAGTCAGGATATGTCAAAAATTCGTTCGAAGTACTTGATAAATTGCATGCACATATTGGTGATTTCGAATCTGTTCAAAGTTTTGATTTTTCAACCCTATATACCACTTTGCGTCATAATCTCATAAAGAAAAAATTCACATACCTAATTAAATGGACATTTAAAAGTCAGAATGCGAATATACATGTTCAAACTCTTTAAGGTCATTTTTTAGTAACAACAAACAAAAGAACTATGTCAATTGGACCTGCTTTGATACGGTAACTGCTCTTAAATATTTACTAGATAACATTTTTGTTCGCTATGGAGATTCCATATATCGTAAAATCAGTATCGGAATTCCAACGAGAACTAACTGTGCACCACTTATTGCGGACCTGTTTCTGTATTGTTATGAGTTACAATTTATGACTAAAATCAGCAAAGACCCATCGAAACAACATCTAGTACAAAAATTTAATAATACTTTTAGATATTTGGATGATATATTGGCTCTCAATAATGACGACTTCAACGGGAAGCTTAATACTAAAATTGACGATAAAAGAGATGATTTTTCATTTCCTATTGTTAATTTTCCATTTTTAGATGGTGACATTCGCTCGTGTATGTAACAAAGTATTTGATTTTAACGAAAGAAATCTCTGTATTACTGAAAAATTATTACACCAGGATTTTCGATATCACAAACTTGTCAAAACATTTACTAAATTTTACCATCGGTACAAGGACATCATTTGTAAATATAAATCAACGAGCAGACATCTTATACGTTTAGGTATTTCACATCCCATCTTTTACGGTAATATTCTATACAAAGCACAAAAATATCGTCATTCACCTCAAAAGCTAACCAAACCTTCAAACAGACTTATTCAGAAGGGATAAAGTTACGATACTGTTGTCAGGTCATTAAAGATGGCATTTCTTGGAATTAATATTGATTCACTCATAGGGTCTTTGCATCGGAAATAAACACATTTATTCTAAAACCATGCAGTTGCTGGCATGATATGGGATATGTTCTTCTCATATATTTTATGATGGTATGATACTAAACCCCTAACGAGAGGGATTGTGCTTGATATTAATATGATGAAGACATAATCTTTCAATCAGTTTAATTGAGGTCTGGAGCTGGCATGTCAGTAACTGCTAGTAGTCCTTGGTTAATTTATGTTGATCATTGTCTTTTGCTTAGTTTCTTCTGTTACCTATTCTAACATCGGACTCGGACTTCTTCTTTTAAACTGAGTTTTGCTGTGCGTATTGCTGTGTGTTGGTTTATTCAACATTGGCTAGAGGTATAGCCTAGGGGGAGGGTTGAGATCTCATAAAACCCCGCCGCATTTTTGCGCCTATCCCAAGTCAAGAACCTCTGGCCTTTGTTAGTCTTGTATGTTTTTTGTGACGTCCATTTTCGCTGAACAAGTATACATTATTGTTTCAGGGGCCAGCTGAAGCCCGCCTCCAGGTGCGGGATTTTCTCGCTGTGTTGAAGGCCCATTGGTGGCCTTGGGCTGTTTTCTGCTCTTTGGTCGGGTTGTTGTCTCTTTGACACATTCCCCATTTCCATTCTCAATTTTATTAACTGCATCTGTGGTATCCTCTATTTCAAGGTCAACCGGGGATAGATGCGTTCAAAATAGTCAACAAACTTTAAATTATTCTTTCTGTTTAGCGGGCACAATCAACTGTCTAATTGTGCCACTGTGTTGCTTATGAAGTCCAAAATAATAATCAAATATATACAGTTCTGGATTTTTTAAAATCCTATATATACACGTGTAATTTTTCATCCGAGCCTTGAAGCCTTGTCCTACATAAGGGAACCTAATAGCATCCAATACAAAGCTGTTTTTGATGCTCGTCTTGTTGGAATAAGCCTATAGATGTTGCATCAATACTAACATATGTCCATTTGTGATTTTAAACATCATACACATCCTTGTTGTTGATCTTCTCTCTTCTTATTGTTTCTACTCTAGTTGTTTTATCATGGCATCTACTGATGATGCATCACAGTATATTTGTTCGTAACATATCTAACCCCTTTGCGCTGTAAAATCTCAATTTTTGTCTTGTTGTTCTGTTGAGGTGGGTCCTAAATTGCACTTACATATTCTAATGTTGGGCTTACTAATGACTCGCTGCATTTTCCTTCAGCTGTCTGTTGTTGATGTTTAAATTTTATTTTAGGAAGCCAATAGTTAAATTTGCTTTTTGTCACATGGGTATACTCTAATTTTAAATCTGGCTGATGGTAACTCCTTAGTATTTTGCAGCTGATACTCTCTCAAGTATTTCGATTACTGTGTATAATCGTGTAGTCTTTCATGGCGGGATTTCTGTCTTGCTAATTGTCATGACATTGCATTTTTCTATCTTGAACTGCATTAGACCTCGATGTTCCCAGTCTGCTAGTTTATTCAGATCGTGTTGGCTAAGCGATATGGTATCTGCGTCTGATGTTAATTATACATAAGTGATAGGACATCATCTATATAGTGGGACACGTTACATGAATTAAAGGATAATGTTAGATTCTTTTTATTCGTTCTGAGAAGCTCTTGAATGAAGTTTGCCTCATATAAATAAAGGAACAAGTCGGCATTAAGTGGAGCACAGTTGGTTCCAATGGGAATGTCAAGGCGATTATTTGTTGAAATAAAAACACATCCTCCAAAATTTAATGTAACAAATATGTTGTCAATAAAAAATCAAGCATTTTGATTGTTCAAGGTTAAGTTTCAGAGAATTTATATTTAAATCAGAGTTAGTTTTTTTGTCAAAGATTGATTTACCAGTTCCTAAACTGACAGGGTATTTGTATTTCCGTTTGTCAGTCGTTCTTTTTGATGTAACATAGTTGGACTACTTTTTCTTTGATTTAGAATAGGGAATATTAGTGTTAAGGGTAATGCATTCAACAGTTGTTATATCGTTGCAAGAGGAAAACATTCAACAGTTGTTATATCGTTGCAAGAGGAAAGAGACTTAGATTGTTTAACGTCACAGTACCCAAATTGCACTGAGTACCCAAATTGCACCTATTCAACAAAAATCGCTGCGGAAATCTTACAAGTTTTCTTTGAGACTAAATAATTTGTATTTTTATGATTTGACATTATACACGTCTTTCAACAAAGTTAAATATATTTAAATATACTCAAAACGTTCACAGTATATATCAACAGATGAAGCATTCACTGAAAAAAGTAAATCTACGAAAACGTCGCCATGTGACGTTCACAAAAAGTCATCTTTTAAAAATGAACAAATTAAATATGTTACAAGCATCCATTTCTCAGTAAAAAAATGAATGGTAAGCATGGACTAATGTCAAATTATTCTAAATATTTGAAGAAATAAAACAAAATATCTGTTATTATATGTGAATTTAAACATGGATGCAATTTGGGTACTCCTCTTTACAGAATCATGGATCGCTTGGAGGTCGGTTCAAACCCATTTTTCAATGATTCAATATGGATTCAAAATTAAATTGGTGGAACCATATAGTAAATAATGACACATCTACAAAATTAACACAGAATGGAAACTTTTGTCTGTATCATAAATAAACGTAGGTGAACAAACTGTCAAAATAGGTGCAATTTGGGTATCGTCACGTTATACATTCTAACAGATCTTTGGAAATTTTTAGTATCCCAAGTTATAAGTTAAGGGGAGGGAATACTTTTGGAGAATTTAGAGTAATCTCCCTTGTTTAACACTCGGATTTGCGATTTTGTAAAAAAATACCTATTAAGATAATACAAAGAAGCAGGAAGGATACGACTCTGATATCAATTGACATTAAGATACTGCTTAAGTCAACTGAAGATTGCTCTATACAAGATTTTTCGGAGAATAACAGAGCAAATATATCACTCGCGCATGCGTTTACCAATGGAGCTCCCCTGAAAATATGGCGGAGACTAGAAGACAAAATAAAATAATTTCTAAGGGGTCAAAGCTTCCAGTTACCATCGAAGATGCTATTGAGGATGCACTCATTGTGTGTCTCGATTATGGAACTAGAAAATATAGAGGCGTTCTATTGGATTCGAATAAAAGGTATCAAGAAATATGCCCATATCTGATGGAAATTCGTCTGTTTTCGATGTAAACATCTGTCCATTTCACAAATCAAATACTTTAGGTAGAACGAAAAGAACATACTTTGATTAAGTATTAAACGTCCAAACTCGTACAACTTGCCCAAAAGATTTGCTACTGTATGTCACAATAGATTAAGAGTATCCACATTGTTGATGATGCCCCATATATCCTGTTTGAGGAGTGCTCCCCACCATGCATGGTAGCATGATATGTCTGAAATATATTAGTATATATATTAGGTAGCCCACACAAGTAACAAAGTAATAAGTGTCATGAAGACTAAAGTGAATTATACAGAGCCCTTCAAATCTTGTGGTGGTGAGAATTGTTTTTTCAAGAACAAATAATAATTTTTTACTTTGACACTGTCTTTGATTAAAAAAAAAAGTATTCAATAAAATATAGGATCAAGAAATTTGTTTGATACTCGTAATGTTGTATTCATGCCCCCCTAATTTTCAATTATAATTAAAACAAAATTCAGCAACCCTTTCTTATACAAGTAAAAAAGTAGTTGAAATTACTCTTTTATTTCATGCTCTTTAATTCCCTCTTTTAAAAGCGCACACATCTTGCATCATTAAGATGGTATACTAAATTACTTATGTATTGCAAAATAAGGGCCAATTATTCTTGTTATTCATATAAATAGAACAACTTTGTTGCAGTGAGTTTGTGAATTTGAGGATAAATATCACTTTAATGATCTATTTGATTCCTTACCAACACTTATTAATGTGGTATAAAATTCGACACCACTTTCAGTAGATCTTGCAATGACTTTGTTCACATAGTTATTATTTATATATGTATACCCAATAAAATATTTCAAGAAGTGGGGGGATTGCCTCCCCTGACTCACTGCAACAATGTATGATCTATGAATTTATCAGAAAATTATATACTATCATGTTATTCTATCCATCTTGTATGGGAAAGGATTTGTATAGGCACTGCCTTTTGTCCAATCCCTTTGTTTAAATGTACATTTGTCATGATTTGATATTTGAACAATAAAATATTTTGAATTTTAAACACATCTTGTCCACATTTGAATTCATGATAATCTAATGTTATGGGAGCTTTTTAGTGGCAGGAATATATAAGTTTTGTCCAGTATTATTGTAAGCAGTTCAAATTTAAATTCACTTTGATGAGCAGATTGTAAGTCACTGAATTGGTTTTACTTTTGTTTTTTTAGCATTTTTATTAAGAAACGTCAAAAATGATTTCATAATGTGCAAACATTCACTGTTGTCAGTTATAAAAAGCATTACTTTTTGAGGTATTAAAACCATGGTATTTTAACAACCAGAAAACTATGAAAACACTAGTATTTTATTTCAAATGATAAAACTGGAAGCTAAAAAGTTGAATTTTTCAGGAAATTTATTACAGAATGGTTTATACACTTATAAACTCCTCATTTCATGTACACAATGGTATGAAATGTGGAAAAAATGATCGTAGCGCAAAATTTTATCTTATTGAATTTTTTTTTTACAAAGCAAACCCTTGAAAATATATTTTTTTAGTTTATACTACAATTTCTTTTGTTTCAGTAATTTTACAAATCATTTGTCATGTTTGTAGAGGTGAAATGATTCACCGAAGAATCAATGAACCGCATTATTTCTTGGTTCAATTTTCATTCATTGCACCATATTTCATGTATTTCAGTTTTGTACCAGTAGGGGTAAATTCTGAGTGTTATAATTTTAAATTGGCCAATCAAAACTTGTGTTACAAATTATTTCAAATTAAGCGTCTCCATGAAAATGGCTGACATGGCTGGATCATTGCGATACATTTACTAAACACAAACAAAAGAAACAGAACAAAGGTAGTTTGCTATTAGGCTACATGAGTACATGCATTAATTCAAGGTTGGGTATTATGTATCGTATCGTCACTCTTGTATCGCGATACATATCATACCATTAGGTAGGTGTATCGTTACAGCCCTAATCATTTGTTTTGTAAGGGTGTTTTTTTTTTTATCTTATTTCAGAAATATACCTCATGGTGTCTGTTCAAGATTCAAAGGAGCTGAGGGGAATGGTATAGAAACAGAGGATGGTACTGTTGAAGCTCCTGCCACCTATTTCAGACATACCTATATGCAACATGAAAATAAAATGAAGGAACATGTTCCAGTAAAGAATGTACAGAAAGATAAAAATACTAGGCAACACATTCGTTTAAGACCTCGACAGATGTTGTGTAATAAATGTAAAGCAATGTGTCAAGAAACTGATAAAGGCATTGTACCAATAACAGCTGTGCCAAAACAAGGTACAAAACCAGAAAATACAACAAATAATAAAACAACAGCTTCACCTTCCAAAGAAGGCTTCCGCAGACGACCTAGTAATCAAAACCTCAAAGCAGAAAACTACAGTGTTCCAAAAACTATTAAGCTAGAAAAGTTACCAGACAAGATTAGTATGATGAACACTAAAGCTAGTCCATTTATCAAAATCAATATAGGAGCGGGTACTGTGTTACAAATTCCACCACGTCTTCATGGAGATGAAGTGGATGGTGTATCAAATAAAGGTGATAGCCAATCTTCTGAACCAAAAACTGACACTCAATTAGATGATTCTAGTCATAGGAAATTAAAGAAGTTGAAATTTAAGGAGCTTGAAAAGGAGTGTGAAAATGACATTGTTACCAAACATGATATTTCATCTGACATTTATCATCATAAAAAACATAAAAGAAAACACAAAAGAAAACATGAAGAAGAGTTGAAAAATTCTGAAGATGATATGGTTAAGAAATGTGATGAAAATAGTGATAATTTACAGTATTGTGATTCAAATCAACAAACAATTATGTCTCAAAGGCCTCGTTTGCTATATACATGGAGACAAAATAAAGGGCTCTCTCCGAGGAGAGATATAGACAATACATACAATATTAAAATGTCACCTCAACAAAGTGTTCAAAGTATTGATAAATTAGATTTAAAACCAAGAAAGGAATACAGACTGCGAAGTAGAGAAAAATCTATTGAGGAAGTCAACGAATCATGTGTTTCTAGTGATAGTTCACATACTTCTATGTCAGAGAGTGATGACAATGTTATAATGTCTGCTGGAAGTGAGGATGACAACGAAGTGTCCTTCAATGCAAGTAGTGTTAATGAGGATAGTCAGAGTAGTGCTGAAGAAAACCAAGATGATGAAGAGGCAGATGGGCCTCCTGTTGAACTTGATGAAAACATTGAAGTTCTTCGTCCATTAATGATGAAAATACAAACTAGAGATGTGACAAAATGTGTTAAATCTGATGGAAGAACTGTTCAATTAGGGGATATTGTTTGGGGTAAAATCAAAGGATTTCCATGGTGGCCAGGACGGGTATTATCAATAACTGTTAGTTCAAGAGAGAGTGGTGTTGTTTTACGGCAGCTTGCACATTTAGCTTGGTTTGGTTCTTCCACAATGTCACATATTCAGTGTTCAGACTTGTACCCTTTTCTGGAAGATTTTAAAATCCGTTACAATAAAAAGAAAAGAGGTCCATATAAGATGGCAATTAAACAAGCAACAATTGCAGCACAAAGTCTCACAAATACACATCATATTGATTTTTCAGAATTTGATTTATGAAAGGTAATTATAGACATGATAGATAATATCTCAGCAATAGATGTAAAATGCTAATTTGAATAAAAACATCTTTGTTTATTGTTTTAATTATACTAAGTATGCTTAGCAAAAAGTATTGTTTGTAAGTGAAAGGTAAATGATACATTGTTCTAACGCAAATAGGCTAAATGAACACGATGAGTACATTGTACAATATATACATGATATAAAGGGTCCATGTATGTTTCAAAGATAAAAAAAAAGGGATAGAAGATACCAAGGGAGGCAATCAAAAACAATAAGCTGAAGAAGACAAACAACACCTTTGCCAAAAGAAAAAAGACACACAATCCACATAATTTATGTATTATGCGTAATATGATTATTACCCAGTTATTATACAAACAAATGTATATAGTTTGTTCTTGTATACCAAATTATTGTGATAGTTTAATACCTGATACAATAACAGATATTTCTTTCATTACTTCATGTACTTACACTTAATATTTTAAGGATGCAGCTTTACTTTCAGTCTTACACTACAATAAAAAAATGTCAACAAACACTAATTACATGTACACATACTGAAATATGTGGCAGTTGAAATTAAAATCTTAGGCAGTTGAAAACAAATGATTCATATCTCGATTTCCATCATTATTATTTTTTGGTGGTTTTTATCGTATATTGCTATGTCGTCGGCATCGTCTTCGTCGTCAGAAGACATTTGGTTTCGGGACAATAAATTTAGTTTAAGTGTATGTACTCTATGAAATTTAACCAAAAGGTTCAATACCACAAAAGGAAGGTTGGGATTGTTTTTGGGGGTGATGGTCCCTACCGTTTAGGAATTAGGGGCCCAAAACAAGCATTTTTCTAGTTTCAGGACAATAACTTGTATATAAGTATTTTGATTGCTCTGAAATTGTACCTCAAGGTTCAATACTACAAGTAGAAGGTTGGGATTCATTTTGGGGGTAATTGCCCAAACCGTTCAGGAATTAGGGGCCAAAAAGGGTCTAAAACGAGCATTTTTTTAGTTTTCAGACAACAACTTGTGTTTAATTATACATAAGTGTATGGATGTCTCTAAAAATTGTACCACATTTTACAAAAAGAAAAAAAAGGGGGGTGTTTTGCGGGACTGGTCATTTTTTTTTTTCCCTCAAGATTTAAGAAATTGTCAATTTTCCCAAGAAAAATTGGGAGTCACAATTTATTTTGCTAACTCTTTGTATATAGTCTGAAAACAGATTTACTAAGTATTGTGCAACAGCACAGTGTATTGCACAACAGCAAGAAATCTTCAATTGAATATAAATTCAAATCATATAACCAATTTCAAGTTCTTTGACTACATTTATTCTGTGTCAGAAACCTATAATGTGTCAAATATTTAATTACAATCCAAATTCAGACCTGTATATATCAAGCTTGAATATTGTGTCCATATTAACCCCAACTGTTCAGGGTTGGACCTCTGCGGTCATATCCAGCTGCGCTCGGCGAAGCTGTTTATTCACACTGAAATGTATGTTGGATTTGATTTTTTTTTTATTTCAGATTTACTGTATACTCAGGAAATTAATATTACAGTGCTTCTTACAAGACAGATAACAAAACATGCCTAATAACAGACCAATAACCAGCCACAAGTTCTAAAGTTAAACAGATTTGCCTTGAGTCCAGTTTTTGACAGACTTTATTTCTTAATTGATGCTTTTATTTTGTTTTATATTTATAAGTCTTGTTCTTTCCAATTACCATGATTACTTTTCAACAAATTAAAGTACATTTTTATAAGAAATGGAAAAATATTTGCATTTGTGTCAAATGACAATTTTCCATTTACGGTATAGATATCATAGGTTTACTGTCTTTTGTTGTCTAATATCTTTTCATATTATAGGGTACAATGCAGTATGATAGCTTGTTCTAGTGAAACAGCCCCTATGGAATAAAAATAGCTTTACTTGGGAACAAAAGTGGATATTTTTCTAATGATTTTTTAAAAATCGGGGGCAAAGTCTAGCAAGGACAAAGTCCTAGACTAGAATTTAAATTATATAATGTAATATGAAAGAATCATTTTAGTGAATATATATATACAATACTGTTGACAAAAATCTTTAACACCTTTTTCTTTCAAACCTCAAATTATGCCAGAATACAGGTATAACAGCCCTGCCATACTGACTAGTAAATTACCTCACAAAGACAACTGTACAATGTAATTTAAAATTTTGTTCCTGTGCATTAAAATTAATGTTTTATTTTAATTTGTTTTAATAAAAAATGAAATATTAATTTTAGTGAATTGCTCATGAATACACAGTTACAATATACTAAAGCAAGTAGAATATTTAGTAGTGAGCGTCCTTAGAAATGTTTTAGACTGTTGCCGATAAAAAGATATAAATAATTATTGTCATAAATGAAGCATATACAGAATGTACATATATATTATGACTTAATAAACTACATTTGTATTTTTAAAAATGTAGGTGATAAAATAGGTATAATCCTAACATTGAGTACTGTGAGTTTTATAAAACACATGCACATAAATTATAATTCAGGTTTGGAAACACGGGATAAAAATTGACAAATCATAGCTTTTGAAAAATAAGATATAATAATATGCTTTATTAGTTTCAAAATTAGTGGCCTTATAACTTTTACATGACTTGATAAACTTATCTTTGGAAAATTTCTTAATTTGAACATGTTGATGACGGTTTAAGTCTTGACCTCAGCTCTAATTGTTTTTTCTTCTTCCAAACTACCAATATACTGTTTCATATAAATTTATATTTTAAAGAAGTCGATGTGTTTGTATCACTTTTACATTTGGAGGCCAGTTAAATATATATTAACAATCATTATAGTATTTATTTTAAATTAACTAATATATATTGAGTCCAAGAATATAAAACTCTAGTCACTTTTATATGTACAAATGTATAAAGATTTATATTCACTGCCTGTAAATTTACAAAATGTGTAAAACGTATTTACATTAGGATTATTTGGCAGTATGAATAATATTAACTGTTCAAGGTGTGTAAAATAATTTTGTACATGTACTTTTAAAGTCTACTGAAAAAAGGGGCAGAAGTATAAATATAATGTTTTGTTAAGTTTCAGTCAGTTTTGTTTTGTTGTGTTGGAACCCTATTTTTTAATGATTAATGTGTTAGAAATTCTGATTCTATGTTTTTCTTCGATTCTTTTTTGCACTATTTTAATTTGTTGAAATATTTTTCATGCACAATCATTTTATTGTTCATGAGGATTATATGAAATTATTTAAATTATAATGCTAAACCTAAGAAAGCATGGCACAATGATCCTTTACATATAATTTATCTCATTCTCATCTTGAGAAGTTCTGAAAGTAGACAAGTTGGCTTTACACAAGAAATAACTTGACTCCATTGGGCAGTCTTTTTGAGATTGAGTTAATGCATATAATTTTCACTTTTTAACTCACTTTAGTTGAATGTTTGAATTTGGTTATACATGTATACTCACCTGGTATTTTAGTCCATGTGAACTATTGTCATTACATGGTGTCCTGTCATTGTCTGGCATCTGTAACCATAAACTTTTCATACTTTCATCTTCTCGTCTTCGTCATCAGTCATCTCTTTAAGTCAGTGAGCTGGTTGATCATTTAAGCTAAATTCTGTTTATCAAACTGACATAGGAAACTCTAGTTGTAATATAATATTTAAATTATTATACAATACAGATCAAGGCAATTTATTCCCCCACTTATAGAATGGTATATATACTGCAATCATCTTGTCCGTCCATCTGTAACTTTTGTTTAATATTACTCAGCTTCTGTAGGAAGGATTTTATACTTGGTTTAAGCATTATCTTTTAAAAGTTGTACTGTGGAAGCCATTTTCAGATTTTCCAAACATTCACTTCCTGTTGGACAATACTTGCAAGTTTTATTTTACCAAATGAGCATAGACTTTTTCATCAATATCAAATAAAAAGAAAGCAAGTGGGCCATACTTTGTGCGACATCATATGTAACTTCTTGTGACACTTCAACTTGCAAAATTGTTTGTCCTAAATATGTTTCAGTTAAATATTTTAGAAATAAATGTGGTTTTAACCAAGGCTTCCAAAACGGTCATATATTCCGGACAATTGTATAATGTCCGGTAAAAGACCGGCTGGGCAAAGCATGAAACGGTCATCTACTTTTTAATTGTCAAGGCTTTCTTAAGAGACGGTCATTTTAGCATAATTCGCGATCTTTTTGACCCAACCTTTTGCCTTTAACAGCCACACATTTCCGATCATAAAAGTGACATGATGATTAATTACTATCAAAACAAACCCTACTTCAATACTTTCTAATTTTAATCAAGGCTAATTAGTTGTTGGACAGCTGAAATCTACCTGTTCAGGTGACAGGTAAACTATTTCCAGTACCGGACATCGTATAAATTGACCAGTCTATTCAAAGTTAATTTCTTACATTTCGGCGGTTTCTATCTTATTGATTTAGTCCAAAAGATTGAAATTATAAGAAATACGTTTATAAACATGATTTGATGAAAAATTTAAAAAGGTTTTAAATGAAAAATCGTAAGAACTACGTTGTATGAACTAGAACACGTGTGCGCATGTGCGCAGTAGGGAAATTTAATATTATGCATCCTTCATTTCTTAAAAAATGATAAAAATTATCATTGATACCTGTATCTAACGTTCATTTCAAGTATTTTGTTGAAGAAATAACGTGGAAAGAGCTTCTTCATTCAGTCGTGCTTTGTAAACGTACACGGATTTTACGTATCCGTTTCTGGTCCATGTTTTACCATTGTCAGGTCAACATCCGGTATTAGGAAAACGTGATATTAAAAACGAAAGTAAAGTTTTTGACAACGTAATGTTGCACAAATAAAGAGTCTAAGGCAGTTATGAGCACGCTGATGTGCACACTTCGAATTATGCACTGCCAATTTAACAGTTTACGTCCGAACATCAAATTCACATCAAAGTAAAGTTTAATATCGTTTTTTTTTAATCTAATGTCAATCATTGGGATGGCCATCTGATTACCATAATTGCCTTTTGTGACTTAGTCTTAAGGGATTAAAATCGGGATAAGATATAAAATGTCCGGCTGGCTCAAATATTTTTTGGAAGCCCTGGTTTTAACCTAAAGGAAAAAAAATCCTTCAGTTTGAGATTTCTTGTTGTTTATGTGCCAAATGCCACAAAAAGACTTAATACAAAATTAGGCAGCTAAATGATATGTCTTTTAAAAAATGTCTTGTGTGACTTCTGTTCAACATTTGATTATTTTATGTCATAAAAAAACCTTCTTCACATATGAAATATCTTTACTATTGTCTGCAAGTGGCACTTGCCTTACATGTCAAATAATAAAAACTTAAAGATTTGCATTGATGATTTTCCTCCTTAAATTGGGGAGTAATGAGAGTTTGAAGGAGTTGATATACATAGTCTTTCAGTTGTTTGAATTGTTAATTTATTTAAACCAGATTTTTTTTATATCAAAACCAAATTATTCAATTTTAATTACAGTTTTACTAACTGGTATATTACAGAAATTGGGAGTGCATTCCAGAGTTGATTATCTTGTCGATATTTCATGTGTACATATCTTTTATGTTAAAAGAACTGTTACGTCATATATACAGTACCTAATGTATTCTGTATGAATGTTCCTTATTTAGTGTGAATCATTGATTTTAAATTTATATAGATAATGATTTTACATTATGTTGAATGAGCATTGAAGAAAATGCTTTTTATGAATGTACCTATGATTTGAAAATTTTTGATTGCATGCATTTAGAATGTTTATTTTTATGAGATTTTCATAAACCTGTATTTTCAAGAGAAAACCAGATATTATTTAACCTACTATGTAATAATATATATATTTGTTTTGGTATGATGTTCAACTTCTTAATAGTTAAAACAAGGAATTATTTCAATCTGGAATAATTTTGAATTCTGGAAAATTGATGAGAAAGGTATGATGAAAACTAACCAAATTAAGGAGTGAAACATCAGTGAAAGTAAATTGAACCTTAGCCATACATGCATGGCTATCCCTCTAAAATTAGTTTTGATCATACATTTCTCATCAATATTCAAGAATTCAAAATTATTTCAGATTCAAATAATTCCTTGTTTTAATATGTTTTATGGCATGTAGGCATTGTGGCAATTTATTTTCATTAACAGTGTAATCCTAAAGTTAGGTTTATTCTGTTTAAAAATACCAGGTGTACAATGCTATTTTAAGTATTGAAGATTCTCTGACTCATTGAGTTAATTTGAGTACCAATTTCTGGTCCTGGAGGACTTGCAGATGGGGATTGCTAACCCAAAAGTTACATGATTAAACTTAATTTTTTTTAATGAGAAATTCCATCGATATACTCCTCATTAAGACTCATTTTTATAAGTCAAATATTATATTTATATATGTCAGTGTTCCAGCCAGGTCATTTTCAAAGGGCACATTGCCTGTTCTTTTTGTATGATTCATAGTGGAGTTTAAAAAAAATATCTTTACTTTTTCAATATAGTTATCCTGGCATATCAACATTTTAAATTCAGTGATCTAAGAAAGAAAAAAATCATAATTTAGGGATTTAACAATTTTGTAAACTTTTTCAAATGATTCTGTTTTATATAATCACATTTTCAGTTGCACAAAAAAAATGTCATATTTTTTCATACCCAACACATCCAAGGTGGAACACTTTAACAACTTTAATATAGTATTTTAAAAGTAATGAAATATTTTAAACAATTAACATAGTTTACAAGTAGAGGATAAAAAAATTGTTGCAGTATATGACAGTTGATTTAACATGTAAGTTGAAAATTCCTAGTATATTTTGTTTCTAAAATTGTTGATTTGAAGTACAGTGAAGAATAATTACAAGAAGCACAAATAATACTGGAGAAAGTTTTGTTATACAAAAAGGGATATTGAAATTGTTCTCTGTTTTCCAATCAGTTTGTAAATTGTTGGTGCACTTTTCAATTTTGAATGATAAATAAAACCAAGATGGAAGAATGAGTATTTTATATTTGTTGAGTTACTGCCTTACTACACATAAACATACTAAAACACACTAATAAATGTCTTCTTGCAGTCTGAAGGGATAAAGTATTTAACTTCAATTAATATATATATATGTTTAATATAAAATAAGGAGAATGGTACGATTACCAATGAGAAAACTATCCACCAGAGACTAAATGATGTAGATGTTAGCAACTAAAGGTCATGTAGGGCCTTGCAAAACCCATACTGCATTGCAAGCAATTAAAGTCTGAAAACCACAAATGTAAAACAATTCAAATGAGAAAAACCATGTCCTGATTTATTGTCGAGCCTGCAACTTTTGTCGCAGAAAGCTCGACAAAGGGATAGTGATCCGGCGGCGGCGTTAACTAACTTCTTAATTTTTCAGAAGGTAGGAGACCTGGATGATTCATAGTTTGTATATAGATGCCTTATGATATTAAGTTACAGTCTGTAATATGTCATTGTCCTTGATCTCATTTTCATGGTTCACTGACTACTTGAAAAAAAAGTTAAAATTTTTTGTAATGTTAATTTCTCAGTTATGAGTAATAGGATAACTATATTTGGTATGTGCATACCTTGCAAGGTCTTCATGCCTGTCAGACAGTTTTCACTTGACCTCGACCTCATTTCATGGTGAACAAGGTTAAGTTTTCATGGTTAAGTCCATATCTCAGATACTTTAAGTAATAGGTCTACTATATTTGGTGTTTTATTTGACCTTTACCTCATTTTCATGGTTCATTGCTCAATGTTAAGATTTTATAGGACTGCAAAAAAATTGTATATTGGTATGACATTGGTGTCGTTCGAAGACACATTGGTTTACGCACTCTAACTTTAGTTTAAGTGAATGGATCTCTAATGAAATTTTACCATAAAGTTTAATACCACAAAAGGAATGTGGGGATTGATTTTGGGGGTTATGGTACCAACAGTTGAGGGAATAAGGGGCCAAAAATAAGCATTTTTGTAACTTCCAGACAATAACTTGTGTGTTAGTGTATGGATCTCTCAGACATTGTACCTCAAGGTTCCATATCACAAAGGGAATGCTGGGATTGATTTTTGGGGTAATTGCCTCAAAATTTTAGGAATTAGGGGCAAAAAAAGGGGCAAAAAACAAGCATTTTTCTAGTTTCATGACAATAACTTGTGTGTAAGTGTATGGATCTTTCTGAAATTGTATTACAAGGTTCCATATCACAAAGGGAAAGCTGGAATTGAGTTTGGGGGTAATTGCCCAAAACGTTTAGGAATAAGGGGCCAAAAAGGGGCTAAAAATAAGCATTTTTCTAGTTTCCAGACACTTGATCTCTCTGAAATTGTACTGCAAGGTACCATACCAGGTAGGGAAGGCTGGGATTGATTTTGGGGGTAGTTGCCTCAAAAGTTTAGGAATAAGGGGCCAAAAAGGGGTAAAAGCAAGCCTTTTTCTAGTTTCAGGACAATAACTTGTGTGTAAGTGCATGGATCTTTATGAAATTGTACTACAAGGTTCCATATCACAAAGGGAAAGCTGGGTTTGAGTTTGGGGGTAATTGCCCTAAACGTTTAGAAATTTGGGGCCAAAAAGGGGCCAAAAAACAAGCATTTTTACAGTTTCCAGACAATAACTTGTGTTCAAGTGTATGGATCTCTCTTGTACTGCAAGGTACCATACCACAAAGGGAAGGCTGGGATTGAGTTTGGGAGTGATGAATCATAAGGGGGTTCAAAAAATTGGGGGGGGGGGGGGGTTCCTTTTTTTTTTCTTTAAAATTTTCCATTTTAAGTTGGTTATTTTTTATTCATATATAAAAGCAAATAATAATGATATGGTTTGATTTCATCAAAAATTGAAATATATGGGTTCTTTGATATGCTGAATTTAACCATGTATTTAGATTCTTAATGTTTGGTCCCGTTTTCAAATTGGTCTACATTAAGGTCCAAAGGGTCCAAAATTAAACTTAGTTGGATTTTAACAAAAATTGAATTCTTGGGGTTCTTTGATATGCTGAATCTAACCGTGTATGTATTT